TGCTAAAAGCTAATAAGTACCATGATGATATCAATATGTTTAAAGAAGTAACAAGTCTGAACCGCCTTCCTTTAATTTGTTTTGGTAAAAATTGTTGAAATACAAAAATTGTAAAAAATATTGCTCTTGAAAAGTTTCAAACACAGGACCTCCAATTCAATAATGAAAGGATTAACTAACTAAGCAAATAGAGATGTTTGTTATTAATATGAGTTATCAAATAGATAATCTAAAAATTCTTTCTATTATCAAAAAAAGAAATTTCCCCGACGAATCCAGTTAGGACAGTCACTACCTAAATTCGCCCATGATAACTTGTATCCATTTTATTAAAGATATATATTTTATTAACCATTTTGATCACCTGCCGGTTTAGGCAGTGAGTTTTGACCCATTGACGCAGTTGTTGATCGAGTCTATCGTCTAAACGATGACGCTAAATCAGACCAAGTGCAGACAACTTTATTTATTATTAGTTTTGTCCGATTTTAACATAATTACTGATACAATTCTCATTTGTTCCAAGGACCAGTATTTATTAATTTTATTTTTTTTGATACTCAGGTGTCCATCTTACAGCGACTAATCTTGAGGTTTACGATTTAACTCCTCTTCACGCAGACCAAATAAATCGCGGGTTGTGCCCCAAACTGACCAGAGTCCAAAAGCCCCTCCAACTGAACTGTCAAAGTGTCAAGCGAGTCAAATCCATATATGCGCCTTGCCTGTTCCAAGGACCAGTATTACTCATGGAGACCTAAGCCCAAGTTCCAAATAATGTGGAGAAAAAAAATAATAACAAAAAAATCGTTTCTCCGATTTTCCTCAAATCTCCAAATCCAAGTTTCAAGTTTTTAACCTTTTGCTCTAATTTTTCATTCACAGAAAAATGATTTAGAGAAACCAAATGTACTATGAACATTAATTATAGAGTAGCATGTGTTCAACTATAATTCCATAAAAAATGATTACTAATATTTGTCAAAGTTGGTCAAAACCAACTTGATAAACCAGTTCCAACGTTACTTATCTTGATTTCAAGTCTCTCTCCTTTTAACAATTTCATAAAATCATTCCATCCCCCATAAAAAATAATTATAATAAAAACAAAGCAGTTAAAATTAGAGAATTTTATTTTATTATTATTATTATTTTTTTTTTTTTTTTTTTTTAAA